GCCGACACACCCCACCCGCTGACTGGCAGGCTCACCTCCTGTGCCTACACACCCCACCCGCTGACTGGCAGGCTCACCTTGCTTGCAGTCCTTAGGCACTGCCACTCTCCCGGATCCTTCCCTAGCTTTGTCCTTTGCCTGCGCTTTCCTCTGAGATGTACTGTCATTTCATTCAAGAGCCAGCTCAGAGTCGTGGTCTTTTGGATCGTTTTCCTCATTGCCCTACTTTGTCCATGGGTTTTCTGTGACTGTGTTCCTGCTTCCTTTACATCAGTTCCTACTGATACTGTAGTCATCTGTTTAAATATCCCAGGGCCACCACCCACTATACTGGGAGTTCCTTGGGGTTGGGGTTTGGAACTTTAATCCTCTTTGCATCTTCTGCGCGGTGTCTGACACGTGTGTCCGGAGATGTTGAAGGGATGGATGCAGTCTTTTCAACACGAGCGGGAATGACTCCGATAGTCGCTTTACTGGATGCTGTCACAGTCAGAGGCAGAGGTCCCAGCTCTCAAGAAGGCTACCATAGAAGAAAGTCTTTTTATCTTCTGATCCAAAATTAATCTTACTCCAGAGTCTCCTGGTCTGGGAAGATCTGTAAAATCTTGATTGTACCCTGTCTTTTTATTTTCTAGGCTGCGTGGATGCCTGGGAGCCCAAAGTGCTCCGGGCGGGTATGAGCGCACATTTCCAGGTGCCCATCATCAACAACCTGGAATGGGAAACTGTGCCCAATTACCTGCCCCCTGACACCCGCGTCTACGTGGCTGACAACTGTGGCCGTTACGCCCAGGCTCAGGTGTCTAATAAAGCCAGTGACCATGGCTGGCTGTGTGACCGGCGAGCCTTCAAGTCTCACAGGTATGAGGAGGAGGAAGATGTAGAAACTGGGACCAGTCAGGATTGGCTGCCCAATGTTGAGGTTCAGAGTTACGACTTGGACTGGACTGAGGCGCCGGCGGCCGTGGTGGTGGGTGGGGAGACCCACGGCGTGAGCTTGGAGTCCCTACAGTTGGCCGAGAGCACTGGTGGCAAGCGGCTGCTGATCCCCGTCGTTCCCGGCGTGGACAGCCTCAACTCGGCCATGGCGGCGAGCATCCTGCTTTTCGAAGGGAGGAGACAGCTGCGGGTGAGGGCGGAGCACCTGCACAGGAGTTCCCACTGAGAAGGACGCAGAAGTGAGTTCTGCTTGGGGACGCCTCCAGCTCCCCCTGCACCTGCACACCATGAGTGAGGAGGCCGGCAGTTGGTGACTGTGGCCCATGTCTGGGGAAGGTGTGATGCCATCATACGGTTACAGGAAAAATAAGAACTTCCTCGGATGGAACAGGTCAGAGTTCTTCCCGAGGCCTCCCGTCATGTCACTGATCTCGAGGTTGTATCTTTTTTCCTTGGTGACAACACAAATAGGTGATCCACGTGGCTCTGTGTTTTTAAACATTGTCCACCAAGAACCATTTCGTGGCGGGAAAGTTCCTAAGGCATCTTCCTGGGCAGGGAGGAGTCCCTTCCACCAGCTGGTGGGTGTTTGTGATCGTCAAGCATGAGTTGTAGGTCTCGGCCACGCCACTCACAGCTCATCACTGGTTGATGGAAAGTGAACAATAAACAGCAGACGACATTAAAAGTTGCCTTTGTGAGGTTGGTGTGTCTCAGTGCCTGTGCCATGCTTGGCCTGTGAGGAGGCTGTGGCTAAGGGATACCAGGGTGCTGGGGACTGGGGACTCGGCATCCAGTAGCTCTTCTCTGGGCTCAGATTGTCAGTTTGAGATTGTTCAGGTCTTCACTCAGCCACTATTTATATAGCTGTAGAAACAGCTTAGTTCAACGGGCCGTGTCAGATCGCCTTGGCACCTCTGCAGATACCTTTTTGAGGACTTTGCAGAATTTCAAAGTCTGCAGCCTGACCCAGCATTTGTCCAGGAAGTGTCACTGTTTCCTGGCTCCCTGTTAGTCCGTCCCGTGGTGAACTGCGATGCTCACCTACGCCTCATCCCTGATGCTTAGAGACCACGATACAACATGGCAGGAGGCCCCTGCTGTTCTCTCAGCCCCTCCGGGGGACCAGGGCAAGCTGGATCTTTACCTACCAGGGGCTAAGCCAGGATGTAGTCAGGCTGTCGGGGCAAGAGCTGATGGCAATCGCTGTATTTATAAGGGACTGTGGGAACGGGGTGGGTGGAGGATGAAACTGACTTTAAGCACTGCTTTGCGACCACACAGAACATGGTTGCAGCTGGAGGCGGCACCGGAGTGTCGTTTCCCCATGGCCTCCTGCCCAGCGGCTCCTGTGATGCTGTGGACTCTGGGAGCCCCTCGACTGCTCACTTAGGGAGGGCAAGTGTGTTGCTGCTGTGCCCAGGAGAATCCTTGCCCCCACCCCTTCTGCTCTCCCCACTTCCTAGTAAAACTTCCTCTCGGGGAAGCAAATGACCAAGCATGATGCACATGCCGAGGGGCAGGTTGGGCTCGATTTGGGATGTCTTGGGGGAAGGGTGTGTGCAGGGATCCTCCCTGGCTGGGCAGCCTGAACATCTGCTCCGGAGCCCCGCTGGGGTCTGGGCCTCCCTAGAGCTGCACACACACCATGGCCTACCACACACCACCGCACCACTGCTCACAAAAGGCCGGGCAGAGCCCGCGGCTTCACTGCAGAGTTGATGCGGACAGGCTGAAAGGCAGCGGAGAACACAAATTCATCTGCTCTAGTCTCCCTAGACACTTCAGGCAGGAGTCACAGGAAGGAAGCTCACACCTTTCCAGCCTGAAACCAGTCTCCTGTGATTGGTTCCCTGGCTATACTCCCACTGATTTTTGTTACAAAATAACAAAGAATAAACCATATATTATCCTTGTTTAGAAAAACCATGTAAAACACTGGCAATTATTCTACACCCCTTTTATCCTCCTGGGTATGAGGGAAAATAAATTCACACCCCATTGCTTTAGAGTCCATGGCTTAGGTGCAGTGCCTTGAGTTCACTTTATGTATTCATGGGTATAATTTAGTACGAGGTGAGGGAGGGTGCAGGCAGGAGGCGATGTCCTTTCTTTAGTGAATACAGGGGAGCAGATGGTTGTTACTTGCTGAGTGATACTGGAAAACACTACCTTGAATCCTCAGTTTTGAGACCATTTGTTCTGTGACCATTTCCCCCATAAACAGGAATAAAAACGAGTAACATTTGGCAGGGAAAACATTGCTTGGCCGAGAGAGAGAGGCCCTGTCGGCGCTGGCCAGGCTCCTGCGCCTTTGTGTGGCAGCGTCGCTGTCACGGTGGCGTCTGCCAGGAGGGGGCAGGCTACGCCTCCAAAACCACCCAGTGCTGAAGGGCAGGGCTTCCCGTTTTCCTAGATTTAAATCCTTGAAAAGGGAGGAAATGAGGATGGAGTCACCCCCACCAGAGAGTTTTCCAAGCCGTCTGGTGCTCCAGAGTGCAAAGGCTGAAGACCCATCCAGACTGCCCCACACGATCTCAGCAGCAGAAAGAACCTGGAGCATGGGAGGGCATGGGAACGAGAGAGGACAGAAACGGGAAGGGGCAGGAAAACCCAGAACAACTTTTCTCCATGCCTGGAGCCTCTGAAAAAGTAATGCTGGGCAAAGCACGGACGTCCAGATGTGCCTGGAGCTGACAATGGACGCCCACCTGCTGGCCCTTCAGTTCCTGCTCCAGGACAGTGGGTGCTGAAATCACTCTCCCTTGCCCCCACCCAGGCTCCTGGCTGGGACCCTGGTCAGTAAGGTCCAGAGGAGACACAGCTCTCTGGGGACCCGCAGTTCACCTGGGACCTTCCACCGCTGGTCCTGGGGCTGAGTAACCCCAGATATCCACACCAGCCACACGAGGCCACACTTAGCCCCACTGTCACCGTTCTACCACACACAGCCCCTAGACGCACACCCCATCCAAGGTTCCAGGGCTTGCACTGAAAATCACCAGCTGCACTGCAGGGCCCAGGGCTCCCTTGACGAAGCCACCTCTCCCTCAGGAGCAGGCCTGACAGACCCACCTGTTTTTGTTTTTTAGGGAAACATGTTGCCACCTTAAAAATTCCACGATTGTATTTCCTCTATTTTTTTTTTTTTTTTTTTTTTTTTTTTTTTTTTTTTTTTTTTTTTTTTTTTTTTTTTTTTTTTT